AAAGAAAAGAAAAGAAAAGAAAAGAAAAGAAAAGAAAAGAAAAGAAAAGAAAAGAAAAGAAAAGAAAAGAAAAGAAAAGAAAAGAAAAGAAAGGAGACACAGCTTAATGCCAATTTTATTCTACCTTCACTGGACCACAGATGTAATCATGTGGCTTTATTCAGTCCCCAGAGAGATGGTCCTGAGGTTAGGATTGCAGTGTTCTTGTAGAAGCCCCAAGTTTGTTTCCCAGCACCCATGATGTGCAGCTGGTAACCATTTGTGACTCCAGGTCCAAGGCTTTGAGTTCTTTCTCCTTCACCTCTTTTCTGTAAAGATATGTCCTTATTGTAAACATATTCAGTAAAGCATGACATAGAAATTGGGTCTTCATGTTTTAAGTGGAGTCCCACTTAATCAAGGAGCATGTAGCTCTGTGGGCCACCTTATCTGTTGAACAAAAGCATAAGAAATAAATATTAGGAGGGTCTGGAATGTGAAAGTGTGTGGCACCAAAGTGGTTAACATTCTCTCAGGTCCCCAAGGTCTTAGAGTGTGAAATAAAAATTGTGAAATCCAATGGAGGTAGCATAGTCCTTAATAGAGAGAGAAAATTAGTCATTCACATTTGCCTGGGGAAAGTGCAGGTCCTGATAATGTCTTGATCTATGTACAAAGAGCCAGTAAAGACAAGCAGTTCTCATAATAAAAATAGAAATGAGGTTTTCCTGACAAAAATGCCACTGGAGTGATGAGCTGTCAGGCAGGATCTGGAGAGACGAGAAAGGATCTTCTTTGGTGACTATAATTAGGTTGCATGGAGAGCTCAGCCTATGCCAGCACCTCTGCCTCTTTCTAGATTCTCCATCAGGTTGTGTCTACAGGGCAGGGGTAGTAAGGAGATCAAGGATGGTTCCTGGAGGGTCAAGCCCTTGAGCCCCTCATGCCCTGTTGAGGCTCTGACCTGGGGTGTGATGGGGGAGGAGGGACTTTACTCTGTGACTTCGGCTCTTTAGATTTATTTCTTAAAAAGGAAAAGGAAGAAAATATTTCTTTCTTTCTCTTCCAATATCCATTATACAAACTTTATTCATTACAAATAAACAATAAAAAATCATTTTAAAAACCTGTAATCACTAACATCATTAATAATATTGGGTGGTTTTTCTGATGCATTGCCTGAATCTAGCTGGATATTAGAGATTGGTATCTAGAAAGAGATAAGTTCAGAAGTGAGCAGTATGGATTAGCAATATAGATTGATCTTACATAAGAGAGTGTATTGCTTTTTTGTGTGACTGTGATCAAATCAAATCATCTGAGAGAATGACTTCATGGAAGATTCACTCTAGCACACAGTTTCAGAGATTTCAGACATTGGTTCTATGAGTTCTGAGACCATAGTCTAGCAGAACATTATGGAGGTGGGAGCATATGGCAAAGGCTATGCACCTCGTGGTTATAAAAGAATAGAATGAGGAAAGGACTGTCAGTGGGGTCTAATGTTCAGAGTTACACCCTGAGGACTAACTTCCTCCAACAACATTTTAGAACCTCCTCAAAATAGCACTCTTGCCTCAGAGTGGAGCCTTCAGCATATGAACCTATAGGATATATTTCATTTTCAAACCATAACAAGGGGATATTTCCCAAATAAGTGAGTAGCTGGGCAACCATGCATGGTTCACACATGTTTCCTGTACATTATTATGCACATTTTATGCCTTTTAAACTATCCTTCCTAGCCTTTATTTCTGAAGCCAGAGGATATAACATAATGGAACATTCAATAAGATAGAAATGTGTATGGCTAGCTATTTAACCAAATCCAAACCATTCCTGAATATACTTCCTGGCTGAGGTCTACTTGGTTGTGATTTATGGAAACAAAGTAGTGGTATAGTAACCTTGTATCTTCTTCAGATGTCAAAACTTGAGTTCAGTTTTCAATGAGCCTATGATAATTTGAGATAGCCCTAGGGGCTGAAGGAAGCAAGATCTACCTGAACTACAGTTTAGAAGCTGTTCATCCAATATAATTTCTGGGAAAGAGCCTGCCCTCAGAGAGCTCCAACATTCATCATGCATCTTTTGGATATTCTGAATTTAACTTCATTTTCTGCAACACGTTATGGAATAAGTAGACACACTGTAGTAAGGAAAACACACTCACCTGAATTAGCACTCCAGTCTGGGAATTTAAACTAGTTTCTACTTTATCTGCTTCTCAGTTTCCAGGCCTGTAGAATGGGGTAGGTGATATCACCTTGCTTATTGGAATGCTGGGGATATGAAATGAGATAATAAATGTGAGACATTTGGCACAGTTCCCAGCTCACAGCAAACGTTCAATGATTCTTGGCTTTGCTAGTTTTTATGATATTTCCTGGAATTGTGTACATTTCAATAGGGCATTGACTATGCAGGAGAAAATATATTGGAATGGCTTTGCTGGTGAGAGACAAGTCTTGGAGAAAGGGAACAAGACTGCCTGCTGAGAATCTGAGTGATATCAGAGGAAGTATCAGCACCCTGGGGTTGGCATTTTTGCTAAGAAGGTCATAAAATATTGATATCCACATAGTTACCCAGAAGGACACGGGTGCCAGATGCTGCCTGCTGCACAGGAGAGTCTCCAGAAGATGTTTGTTCCAAGTTATGAGGAGGGTAAGCAGGAGAGCCAGACAGGTAACAGGCATGCCAGTTACTTCTGTGGTTGAATACACCAGGGTAAAGGGAGAACATGGTGGTGGACCAGCAATGAGCTCTCTTTAGAAAGGGCATCTTCCTTTCTTCCTAGCCTAGAAGAACAGGTCAGAGGTCAATTATGTATCACTTTATACTTCCTTCACAATCAAGGATTGCCATATCACACTGCCACCACTGCATCCATCCTCATCCCTATCCCCATCCCCATCATTATCATCATTTCCAGCCATCACTGCCATCACCACCATCATTAGTATTACTTTCATCTCCATTATTAACATCAGCAGTATTGCTACCACCATCACCGTTATTGTTATGCCAACCATCATTATCACCATCAACCTTATCAACACCATGATCAGAATCATCATTAATCATCAGCAATAATTAGACTACCATCTTCATCACCAGCACCAACACACATCACTATCATTATCATCTTCACCAGCAAGTACCACCATCCCTATCAGCACCATCACTACCACCACCACCACCACCATCTTTGGAGCCTGTGTGCATCATTCATCTCACAGGTTCTACGTACTGCATAAAGTGATTTGGTTGCATTAGTCTACGTTATCCAAATTAAAACCTGAAAGGAAAAAATAATCATTATTTAGTATTTATATTATAAGTCACCCAGAATTCAAAAAATCCAAATAGTTTATCCAAAAGTCACCCATTGAGGACTTAACAGAGCTAAGACTGAGATCCAGGAAGCCAGTTTCCTAGTCCTTGTATCCTTCTTCTCTTAAGAAGACAACACAAGATCACAGTCATTTTTTTTTACCTTCTAGAGTCTCTCTCTCTCTCTCTCTCTCTCTCTCTCTCTCTCTCTCTCTCTCTCTCTCTCTCTCTCTCTCTTTCTCTCTCTTTCTCCCTCCTTCTCTCCCTCCCTCTTTTGAGAGAGAGGTTGTATTTGAAACAGAGTCTTCCTATGATGCCCTCACTGGCCCGAAACTTTGTGTCCCACCTATGGCTTCCATGTGCCTGGATTGCAGACATGTACCATTGTACCTGGCAGCATGCCCTTTAAATTACCATTATTTTTTCCCTGTGAGAGGATAAGCCTGTAATCTGTGCCTCCCAATATCGCACATCAAACTCATGGTTTTCCATCACACACATACATTTATACCAGCAGACTCCACCATAGAAGCCAATGTTTCACAAAACACCATTCAGAATATAGATACAGGAACAGCATTGGAGATGAATTTTATGTCTAATAGGAAACTTTTATGGTGAATCCAATCAGAGACAAGATAAGTCTTTGATGAACACTAATATTTGAAAATGAGAGTATAGATAAGTAATATTGTTTTCAATTAGCCCCAGAGCACAGTTCACTCTTTTTATGTGTTACATGATGTTGAGAAAAATGCTGATTCATATGCTAAGAGTTGCTAAAAGTAATTATTTTAATTAGATGACCTTAAATTATATAGTTAGTGTAGAACCTATAGTCTGTAGCTCATCTTACAGTCATGGACTCTCCAGGTCTAGGTGCTGTGTTTGGCTCAGCAAATGCATTCAAGGTGTGGCTGATAAAGAAATATATAAATTAAACAAATGGTAAAGGAAACAGATAGGAATCAGAGAAGCATGAGTGAGTGTGTCATTTATGGGTCTTCCCATTCATTCAGCCATGATTTCACCAGAATTTGCTATTAGATAATGGCTCTTCTAATTATTAGATCAGAACTTCTCACAGACCATGTGCCTGTGTATGTGTGTAGAGTGGAGTGTCAAAAATAGACAGAGAACTCAATGCTGTCAACACTGTGCCACTTAGAAACAACAGGATGCTCCCCTAAGCCAGAAGTATGGCCTTCTGGCTAGCATGGTATTATCTATATGTGCCTAGTTCTGCCTATGAGAAATTCACCGGACACTACAGAAGGCACTATCAGGTTCATCTCTACCTCAAAATGGCAAAACGTAAGAAAATACCCATTTTACTCTGTGATTTCTAGTTAGGCACTGAGCATTTGGGGATTTGTGAACTCATATCCTCAAAGACGGTTGAAGAGGGAAACACACATCAGGAGACACACATCAGGAGACACACCATTATGCACTGGGCATAAACAGTTTACATGGCATTGGAGGTGAGTGGAAACTGAAAAATGGGATCATTTAGAAATGCTAGTTATGTTTCACAGGCAAGAGACATGCCCCAGACCACAGCAATGAGTAGCATGCACTAACAGTGGAGGCCATCATTGGTTTGGGTTAAGCATAGCAGGATTGACAGGCCTGGTTTTATTCAGTTGAAAGTCCTCTATGGGATCCATAGAAAGCAAGAGTTGGGGGCAGTTCAAGCTGAGAGCAGAGGAACTTATTTCTGTAGAAGAACAGACTTCTACTATGGACTGAAAAGACTAAGGGGACTCCCTGGTTCAATGGCAATGGAAGAACTCCAGAGGGAGTTTACAGCTGTAAGTTGGGAGAGATGGAGTGATACAGTTTGAGAGCAGGGTTCATGATTCAGTACAGCAGGGGGAGATGTAAAGAGCACACTCTGAGGCTTCAGGTCAGGTAAGTGGAATGGAGGGACTTCCATAAGCAGCCAGTTTCAGCAACAAAATGTTTGGGGGAAAATTAAAATAGCAGACAGGATTGGGTCTTGGTACCGAGGCATTCTGGAGTCTCTGTGAAGTCCATGTGCATTCCTGAGATATGCCCTGTATGGAGATGTCAGAGCTGTAGTTGTGGTGAGGATTGATTCAGTCAGAGCTGCCTCAGTGCATGTTATCTTTGCCACAATTGTGTGTGTGTGTGTGTGTGTGTGTGTGTGTGTGTGTGTGTGTGTGAAGTCATGAAAGGTAAGAATGATTAGGATACAAGAGGTTTTGGGGGGAAATAGTCCAGTCAGTAAAGTGCTTGCCTTACAACAATGAGGACCTATGTTATATTCGCAGAACCCAAACTGAAAAATGCGAGCATGTCTAATTCCTAGACTAGGTGAATAGAAAACTTCAGTTCAGTAAGAGGCCCTGTCTCAAAAAATCAAGTGGACAGCATCCTGAGGAATTGAACTGACAGCTGAGGTTGAATTCTGGTCTCTTCAGGTACACACACTTCACCCCATCCCCCTCCTCTCTCTCTGTCTACCTCTCTGCATCTCTGTGCCTCTGTCTCTCTCTGTCTCTCTCTCTCTCTCTCTCTCTCTCTCTCTCTCTCTCTCTCTCTCTCTCTCTCTCACACGCACACATGATAAGAGGCCTGATAAAACACACACAGAAAGCACATGCCTTCAAGTTGTGTCTATGCAGGACGTGAGTCTTCTATGCTGCACATGAGATAGTCTAGCCAGCCAGAGGAACTGATAGCTCTTCTACTGCACACTAATATGCTGAGAGTATTGGTTAATTACATCTGAAGCCAGGTAAAGGGAATGATAGTGAATATGACAGATCATTTTTCGGGAACAAGAGTTTGAGTTCAGAAGAACAGTTGTAAAGTACCTTCAGGAGAAGATGGTGCCCTCAAGGACAAAGGGGAGCATTGATGCTAAGCTTTTGAGGATCAGGAAACACAAAACAGACCACTGAAGATGAGAATATGTAAGCTTGCTTTCAAATGGAAGGGAAAAGTCAGGGACACATTAGTGCCTGAAGAATCTAATCAAGTCAATGGTGCTAGAGCAGCCAGTGTCTCCATTGAGGTTGAACTGTTTCCAGAACCCTCTAGAATAATTTCAGTTGTCTAATTCAGTCTTCCAGTTTTACTGGCTGTCATACATACAGATATAAGGGGAACATGGTGAGGGACTTAGCTTCATGTGTGAGTCTTTGTATTTAAACCCAGAGACAGTACATATATATCTCAGCTAAGAGGTCACATGGGGTTATGGAAATGTGAGACACCTGTCACTGTGAAATGCAATGCCTGTGCCAAAACTTGGAAGTCCAGAGAGAACAGATTCAATGAGATGAGATCTTGAGAATTAAGGAGCTTTCCTACCCAATAACCAGTATCTCTGCATCATAACCTTCTAGGTTTTCTGCAATAACCTAGTTTTGTATGTCCTTATATCCAGCCTTTGAAGGTGTACCTATAATACTGAGAACTGAGAGTCCCTGGATGTTGCCTCTTACCTGTGTACCAGGACAAGACCTTGACAAGGCTAAGGTCAAACTCGATTAATTCAGATATTCAGAGGTTAGAGGTGAAGCTACATCTAGACAGAGAAGCTCATTGGAGACTCGGGTTTCAAGAAGATAAATATTTCTCATCATTTACGGGGTCAAAGAACCCTACAGTCAGGTCTATTGCAGTGGGGGGTAGAGGGGAATTCTCTGCAGGGTTTGTTTGCCTTCAAATTTGTTCAAGTTCCATGCAGAAAGTCGAAACACCAGTGGGTGGATGTGGAGGCTTCCCAAAGTAGACCTCCCCACCCACATATTCATTAGAAGAAATCACCACTTAGCTGTTTTTGTCTCTACCGCCTACCCTCCTGGGTCCCACGCTCTTAACATTCTGTCCTGTGTGCTGGGAGCCAACTCCCACCCTCTAAACTGCCAAACATTGAACTCTCTCCCCTAGCATCTCCTCTTAGAACCTATTGTTTCAGCAAAGCTCCTATGAGAATAGAAGCTATTCACCTGCTCTGGATACTTTTTTAGTTTAGGGATATGCTGTGGATCTCTCTGGCCCTTTGGCTAGTGTAATACAACACTCTCTGGAATTCCTCACTTTGGCCAGAGGTGGTGGGGAGAGAGTGCTGGTGGAGACACAGGAGCCAGGGGCTTCTCCTTTGAAAAAGTGAAAGGCAGCTGTGGATGTTGTGGTACTTCCACCTCCTGTCACAAAAGAGGGGGTAGAAAGCTGAGATAATGTCACTCTATAAAAATAGATGTTCGGGATGAGCGATTGATTTCTGGGAGAGGAAGGCTTGTAGATTAGCTGGAATGGATAGTGCTGTGGGGAACTGCCTGCTCGGGTGAGGTACTCAAAAAGACTGTAACATTGATGGTGATGATGATGATAAAGGTGATCATATCGAGGATGGGGACAACTATGATGGCATGATTTTGGAAGCAGCCCCTTTGCTGCTACTGGTACAGCTAACAATTGGAGGAATAATCCTTCACTCTGGTCTTCAAACCTGAATGAAAACCCCACTCCTCACTATTTACAAGCAAGCATACATTTATTTCAACCGTGTATATTTTCACATGTTATTGAGAGCCTTCAAAAGCTATCTTACAGGGTTATGTGAAGGTAAAAACAAAATGAAAGCATTAGTTGCCATCTGGCCAGAAGTCATCTTCTAGAATATGTTACTCCATCCCTCTCCAAAACACAGAGAAGAATTGACCTCATATGTTATGTGAGGACCTGGATAGGAATATAGCAGATGAGGACTAATGTATACATTTGGTTTGTTAGCAAGGTCAAATCATGCACTTAGAAAATCAGGTCAGGGCTGAGAATACTGGTGCATGCCTATAGTCCTAGTACTCAGGAGATTGAAGAGTGGAGACTGTGAGTTTGAGACCAACCTGAACTACATGATGAGTTCAAGGCCAGCATGATCCTGTCTTTAAAAATAAAACAAAACAAATCAACATTGATGTGGC